AGCCTGTCACTCCAGAAGGCTATCGCACTCCCTGCTTTTCCTTGACCTCCAGGAAGCATTTTACCGCATCATTCGCCCCCTCATCACGGGAGACCAGCCGAGTGACGAGGAGGTAGCACGTATCTGCTCCGCTGTCCAGCTTCCACCCAATACGATGCATGAGTTGCATTCCTTCCTGGGTGGCCCTTCACTCGTCAAAGAAGCTGGTTCGAGCGAATGGGCAGACGGCGCAGTCGCCGAGTCCCTTCAAGACACATGGTTCAGGTTACCAGACGAGCCGGAGGTTGTTGTGACGAGGACAGGATCCAGACCGGGGGACTCCCTTTCGGACCTAGTCTTCTCCTTTTTATTCGCGAAGGTCCTCCGGCAAGTAAGGCAAGCCCTGGTCGATGCTGCGCTTTTAGCCCGCATCCCGTGGAGCCAAGAGATGCACTGCAAGCTGGAGCCACTGGAGCAACCCGCAGCGAATGAGATTGGGTTATCCGATGCGACCTGGATGGATGACCTCTCGATGTTTCTCATCTCGCCAGATGCACAGTCACTTATCCGTGCTCTTGATTTTGGGGCTTCATCTTTGATAGATGCATGTCTCCAACGGGCTCTGGTCCCCAACTTGGCCAAGGGGAAGACCGAAGCAATCGTGCAGCTGCACAACAAGGGTGCGCGGCGCGAACGTCGGAAAATTTTTGGAGAAGGTCAGGGCGAAATCCCCCTTTCCTGCCGCATGTGGACTGGAGCCAGACTCCGCATTGTTCCGGTCTACAGGCATCTTGGGGGCTTTCTCCAACACAATGGGGGGCTCAGCCATGAGATCTCCTTCCGATGTGCTCAGGCATGGGAGGCTTTCAATCGCCGCCGAAAAAAGGTCTTCAGATCGACCTTGGTTTCCATTGCCGATAAAGCGCTGCTCTTCGACAGCTTGGTCTCCACGGTCCTTTTCCACGGAGCGGGCACATGGACTGGGGTGACATCAGTTCATTTAGACTCCCTGGATGCAGTGCTTAGGCAGATGGCTTGCCAGATGCTTACACCGAGGTATACGTGTGAAGAGGCCTGGCACCTTGGCACAGCACAGGCCATTGCGGCCGCGAAGATTCCGCGTGCTTCCACTTACCTCCATGTCTCAAGGCTGAGGTACCTGCTGTCGTGTGTCCGTCTCGATGTGAAGGAAATATGGGCGCTTGCGCATTGGGAACGCGGCTGGCTGGGACTCATACGCTCTTCCGTCCGTTGGATGTGGGACTTGACGCGCAATTCAGGCGCGGAGGAGGACTTCCACTCCTCATGGTCGCATTGGATAGATGAATGTCGACGGGCTCCCGGGAAATGGAAGTCCAGGGTTCGCAGAGCACTTAGGGCAGCCGTAGATGGCGAGGCAAGACAGGCCGCATATGAGCGGCATATTGGGCTGCTAACTAGGCAGCTATGCCGCGCTGGTGCGCGTTTCAATGTTGCCTCCCCGCACAGCCATACGGGCCAACAGGTATGTGCGCCGTGCCAACTTGTTTTCCAAGACTTGCGTGCCTGGTCGGTGCATGCTTTCAAATGCCACGGCCGCAAGGATGAAGTGCGATCGCTTGTTGAGGGCACACAATGCCCTCATTGCATGCGTCACTACGCCACCACTGTCAGACTGTGTCGACATGTACGACATTCTGATGCATGTAGGCGTGCCCTTTTGAACCGCGGGGAAAGAGTTCACCCTGCTCCCGGTGTAGGCAGCCGCAAAGCTCCGAAAGAGCACCTCTTTTGCGCCCCAACCCTCCAGGCCGAAGGTCCATGCCCGCAGGAGCTTGATGGTCACCTTGATGATGAGATGAACAGACCTTCAGCTGAAGTGTTGGATTGCCTTGCCCAAATTGACTTTGATGGAGGACTCGCGACCATGACCGACGACGAAATTTGGGACCGCATCAGAATTTCCATGTCCTGTGTTTGCCTCCCTATCCAAAGGTTGAGAGTCACCCTCGATGTCTGGGAGAAGGGGGAAGGTGTGGGAGCGCTGAACCGATCCCAGGAGTCCCATGCCAAAGTACACCGTGTGCTCTCTTGGTTGCGTGAGACTGACCTTGTCTCAGCCCTTGTTCCCGGCACGGACGAGGACTCCAGGAAAGCACATGTCTCCGGTCCCGCCATTGGGCCCCTGTGCGAGGCAGATCTGCTCGCCATCAACCTGCCATATCCTGATGCTTGGACGAAGGATCATGTGCTCGTTGCTGTTGGCGCAACACCTGCTCTCAAGATCTTGACCGCATATGGCCGCACTCCCCTGCTTTACAGCCATGAGGAGTCCCTGACAGTGCTAGCATCAGGCACCACTCCCGACTTTCTTGAAGAAATAGATAGAGGTTGTGGTTTTTGCTTTGACCTGCTCGGGCTCAATACTCCCTCGTCAACCGATAGTGTCCCTGCCAAGAAGGCTGACCTTGCGCTCCAGTCGATACGCCTCGCCTGCGATATTACCCGATGCGCCGTGCGCTGTTGGACTAACGGGATACGTGCGTATCTCAAAGTCCCTGATCGCAAAAGCGTGGACATCGAGACCATCCTTCGCATGCCAGGTGTCCGGCACACCCGACAGGAAGGTTCCGTGGCCTTATGGGCTGGACAGGTTGACGAGCCGGCTGACTTGTTTCACCTTTCTTAATTAATCTGCAACCTAAAGGGCTGCGTCGAATCGACCCTATGCCCGAAAGAGTGGAAAGAGTGGATAGACATAGATATAGATATAGATATAGATATAGATATATACACACAGGGTCTGGGATCAAACTCCCCAGCAGCGGGCGCCAATAGCCTAGATTCCGAGTGTGTGGAGTTGGAAGTCCTTTGCAAGATGGGCCATTGCGCAGGATTTTGTAACGGTGTCAAGAAGAAAGTTTCCCCGAGTGGCATGGAATTCGCCACCGTGGCCAAGAGGACTTGCGGACCGCTCACAGCAGCTGCAACAGAAGACGCAATCAAGAGAGGGGTAAAGCACCTCTATCGCAGACACTGCATGTTGATGCGCCTCATTGGGAGGTTGGTCGCCAAGATGGGCAGCGACTTCCTCATCCAGGTGCTGATGGTAGTGCCGGACGACACTGAACTGCAAATGGCGGTGGGTGGTGTTGGAAGCGCTGGTTTCGTGGCCCAGACCAAAGTCGTGGCTGTTTTACGCAACTTGGAAGGTAATGGAGTGTTTTGCTGTGCTCGCCGGACGCGACTACACATTGCTACCAGGTGGGAGCCATGTGGACTTGTGCTGGTGGAGGCTCTGCGCTCGGGAAGGCGGTTCATCGTCGCTCCGACTGGTCTCTGGACGGATGGTAAGATGACCGTCGAGGCGCTTGTGGAGCAAGAATTTACTCGAAGGGGTGACCCTTGCCAAGAATAGCAAGCTCGGATGCTTGTGACTTGTCAAATCAGTGCATTGTGGAAGTCATCTACTCTGCCACCTTGCTTGATTCAACGACCGTACTACCTGGGTTGACTGCGGAGCGACAAAGGCTGCAGTTCCCTGCGAACTGATCTTTTGTCAATTGTTTGCTCGGCATGCCTGTGTGATGTGTTTGTATATACGCTGTCACTGTACACGGCACGCATGTCGGAGCGGGCATGGTTCATTTAAAACAACCATGTGGGGTGTGGTCTTGTAGTTTGCCTCCCCCGGCCTTTGGAGGCATAGGCTCAGGACTTTCTTGCTTGGTAGCCGGTTTCAACGGGTTCTGCTGCGCATAGTAGAACCAGTTCTGTTTGCGCTTTAGCTGATGCTATGTTCTAGACCCGCGGGAAGGTCTGATTTCTGCGTGGCTCCCGTAAATCGGCGCTAGCGCATACAGACACCCGTGGGATTTCAGAATTCATTGTCAAGCGATAGGCACCACGTCCTCTTGATCTTGAGCTTCAGCCTCCCGGAAAATATATATCGACACACATATACAACGATGTATGTATGTATGTATGTATGTATGTATGTATGTATGTATGTATGTGTATGCGTATGCGTATGTGCAGACATGTATGTGTGTGTGTGTATATATATATATATTTATTTATTTATTTATTTATTTATTTTTATGTATTTATCTATTTGGTTGTTTGTTCGATACCCGGAGCCGCAAAGAGCTGTGCTGCTGACTGGCTTCGGCGCTCCGAATAAGCGCTTCATGGGGCAGGAAAGGTTCAACGTGTTCTGGTAGCGTACAGTAGCCTGCTTCTTTTGGCAAAAGAGCAACAAGATTCAGGAAGGTAAATTACCGTGGCGCTTCCAAGCTTCGCTGGGGTGTACGTTTTTTTGAAGCATGGACTTTGGATCTCTGAGGCGTTGGAAGATGCGATGCACAGTTGCTCCTGCTAGGCGCTGCATGACATGATGCACACGTGCCACATCACAGTGACAATGCAGGTGCATTTTCTGAGCTATTTTTGATAAGAGGTGGGTAACGGTGGGTATAGCTCAGCTGTCGCGGCCCTGCATTATAGGCCTCTGAATTCTCAGCAAGCTGCCTGTACAACAGTGGAACTGCACATCCCTGGAAATCGGCCTGCCAAGTTGCTTTGCCTCCGAAGGCTACAAATCTTTTGGACTTTTGCCAAAAACAAAGCAGCAGCCCTGTGCGGCTAGGCATCAATCGCGGCGGAACTGATCTGATTCAGACCGGCTCGCACAAGGATGATTTTGTAAAATTGCTGGCCCTGTAGGTTCAACTAACTACGCATGCACACATGCACGCATGCAGCGTGCACTAGGGCTCTCCTACTGCCAGCGGGTGTGGCACATTATCTAAGTATGGCTGGGGCTCTTCTTCGTCAGTGGCTCTCACACTGTTAGGGTCACGGTCCTCCTCACGCGTCATGTATAAGAAGCCGTAGATGATGACGAAGAAGGGAACACTGACCTCAACGCATGTCGGCCCCTTCCCCCCGCCCCTTCCCTGCTGCAGGGCGCTGCAAGGAAGCGTGGCAGCCGAGAAACCACAGACATCATACTTCCGTTCATGATGATCAGGATTCCCATGAAGTCATCGGGCTGGCTTCTCATTAAAGCTAATCTTCCCTCGAACATCAGCAGCAGGAGCAGCAAGGCCAGCAAGGCAGAAGCCAGCCATGGTTCCCAGTCTTTCAGGCTCGGCTCAAGTGGGGTCAGCCTTTCGACGAGAACGACCCCAACCTCGGATTCCAGAACTTTCTGCGCATTTTGGAACAGCTGTGGGCTTTCGTGAAAGTTGCATTTTGCCTCTGGGTGTCCGAGGGACTGAGGCAGTGAGCCAACCAGTGAAGAGAGCAATCGGAACAGCATGCACGGAGAGGCGCTTGAAGAATTCGCGGGTGAGCACGCAGCACGCCAGCGATGCAATGAACATTGCTATACATGTCATGAAAACGAGTTCCATGTGCAAAAGCGTTGCGAAGACCGATTCGGTCAGACTCCATAGCACTGCCGTGACGCAGGTCATCACCTGTGCAAACAATTGCGGGCTTCACATCAGACTGCAGTAAGTCGACATGACACGCAGCTGCGGACGGAGCTGTGCCGAGCATGGCACGGACATCATGAGGTAGTTGTAGGGGAAGCTGCTTCGGATGAGCCAGAGTTGCATGATCATCACCATGTCTCCGAAGCTCAGCAAGTAGTAGAGGCCCTGCGTGACATCGTGCCAATGTAGCGGATGCAAAACGTGCTCAAGACTTCAGACATGCTCGCCGCACCTCAACCGCAGGCGACTTCTTCACTGGCTGGCCATCCTGGGCGTGTCGCCCCCCTATGGCCATCGACCTATGGGCTACGGTGGACTAAGGGCACGGACCCAAACGACTTGTCGGAGGAGTACCATCATCGTGAAGCAGAAGCCTTGCCTGGCTTTTACCATCTCTTCATGCAGCTTCTTCGATACAAGTCCCTTCTCTCTTCTGCAGGCCGAGCAGCTGCAGAGCCAGGAGGGCAAAGGTCTTGACCTCGGCTGGAAACACGCTTCGTGCTGACTCGGCTGACTCCGATTGAGTCTTTAAGTCGCAACCGAGGCCTAGGCACGGAAGGCTCGTTGCACATACATCGGCACCTCTTTGCCCACCTCCAAAGGCAACGCAAACCGCTCACAGCGAGAGTGCCAGCCCTTCGGCACTTGCCATGGCCTCGGGGATCCGCCATGTAGAAATTCGGCTCCTGTTTTTAGGGGAGCTTCATCTCTTTTTACAACATGAAAGCAAAACTCAAAGCAAGCAAGGGCCTCAGGGACTTCATTGTGAGGCCTGCGTGCAGGAAGTCACAGCAAGGGCGTGCCAGTATGAATCTCCAAGGACCGAATGGCCAAGTGGTCTGTGATTCACTGCACTCTCTGACACCTCGGTCTGCTCCCCGCAGAGGATTCGTGGCCGGCACCTGGCACCCCAGAGCTACACTTCCAGAGACTGCCTCCTTTCACCAAAGTCTTGAATGCAATTTGTCAGAAACCACACGAAAGCGACAAACCGCAAATCCGGCTGCCTGCGTCGTTTCTGCAGTAGTTGTCTGCACCTCATGCAGAACACCGGCGCTCTGACCATCTCTCGCTTCCGTCAGCTATCCGTTGCTGCACGAGTGACACTAGTAAGGAGGACAGAGTACATCGGTGACACATGCAAGTATAGATCCAAGTAGCAGCATGGCTTTGTTGCTGGAACTATACTAGCGGTAGTCATTGTTGCTGTGTTGCAGTTTCGATCTAGTCGTCGTGGTCCTGTAGTTGTAGCAGTGGCAATAATGATATTCGTCGTCGTGGCGGCAGTGGTAGCAGTAGCAGAAGCAGTAGTAGTAGCAGTAGCAGTAGCAGCAGTAGGAGGACGCCGAGGTCGTCGTCGTCGTCGTCGTCGTCGTCGTCGTCGTCGTAGTAGTAGTAGTAGTAGTAGTAGTAGTAGTAGTAGTAATAGTAGTAGTAGTAGTAGTAGTAGTAGTTGTTGTTGTGCAGTAGCCGAACAAAACTGCCGGTGGCGGTGCCTGAACCTACTATTGACACAGCTTGGGATCCTGGCATCTTGCGGAACTGGCGGCTGCAGCACCTCACTTCGAGCCTGCCAGTGCTGGTGGCAGCAGACATCCGTTTCGCTGACTTTGTCAGGAACGCATCGATTTGGGAGTTTAGGGTGTCGGTTCTGTACGGTTCCATTCCTGAACGCTTGAGTCCTTTCAGCTTTGACTCTTTCTGGCTTCGACGATAGGGTTGGCATTGTGTGCAACATGCAAAGTTCTGGCCGGTCGCGCTTCATGTCTGCACGCTCGGCACAGTATTCCTTTCGGAGAAAGGAGCTTACATTGCCATCTCAGACGCCTAAGCCCTGAAGTCAAGCCCTGAAGTGGTGTCGGAGCTTTTTGATGGTCCTTTAGAATCCCCACCCTTGCTGTCACAGCCGGACCGAAATTTCACAAAGCAAGGCCTCCTCTGCCATTACAGAACGGATGGGCGCAAAAAAATTCGAGCCGGTGCTTCGGAGAGGTCTCAGACTGCACTACGCTCTATCGTATGGTGCTGTATAGTACTATATTCTGCTACAATCGACTGTATTATACCAGAATAAGTTCAAATTATACCATCTTAATAATTGTGTGTGATTTCTGGGGTGTCGTCGCAACACTGATGCAAGTGAGATTGCACGGTGGAGCCGCAAGAGGATCACGGCTTTTTAAGGATGATTTTGCCTGCCCGACAGGCTAGGTCAAAAGATACATTAACGGAAGTGGCCGCTTTTGTGCCAAATCTGGGGCTGCAACTTGAAAGCTGACACAATCTCCCAGTAGTAGGGCGGTGCAAACCAGCAAAACACATCGAAGAATCAGGATGTTGAATCTTGCCACCTGTCTGCTAGAGTGAAACACTTCCTTGGCACCGGACGTGCAAGCCCGGAGCTTCATCTTGGACGAGCTCTACCCGGGCAATGTCTAATGAGTCTAATGTCTGTGGAGTACGGCTGCATCTGCGGACCTACACTTGGTCTACGCTCCCTCAACACACGCATTGATCGGCCTACTGAGCATTCGGATCATGGAGAAACCATGGCTTAGTCTCTTCGATGAACTGGAAGATGCTGTTGGCAACCTCATGCGAACGAGGCCATTGGAGGAGCCGAGAACATCGACTTGGCAATTCTAGTCGAACCTCCAGCTTGTCTGGGTTCTTATCAGGATGCCACCGCAATTGAAGGCACCTCCATAAACAAGAAAGACACCACATGGGTGGTTGTCAAAATTAGGGTCCCTTTTTGGGTAGCCAAACTAATAGGTGCCGTATTATAATAAGGACCCAAAAAGGGACCATAATTTTGACAACCACCCACCATGTATTCGGCAAATTATCAGATGCTTCGTGGGCGGAGAAGGTCAGCGGCCTCAAGGCCTTCTTCCTCTTCGCAACCTCCAAGCCCTGCCGAGTCTCAGATGGATCTCAGCTCACGCTTTGGTCAAGGCGACAAAGAGTGAGGGGTTTAGGGTTTTAGGGTTTGGGGTTTAGGGTTTAGGGGCTTATCTTGAGCCGATACAAGGCCTGGTTGACCATTGACTCCATCTCCTGAAAGCCCCCAAGGCCCAGCTGCACTGATAAGCAGTTGCATGCGAACTGTCGAGCCAGACCCACCTTGAGAACGGAGCTCTTGATCTGGTACACGGCATGGTCCTCGAACCCGGCATCAAGCTTGGGAGGTGCCTGAGCAAGAGCCAGCTAATGCGCTTTGGAGACTAACTCTCAGACATTGTGGCCGCCGCTGGTCCGCGTGGCGGCACGTAGCTGCCGGCTTGTTCGCTGCCCTGCGATCCCTTGGGGGACACAAGGATCTCATCACGGGCGGCCCAAACATGGCAACTCCCGCCTTCTGTTGCTTTTGACCACCTGACCTAAACAAGCAAACAGATTGCTGACATGCGTAAACGACGTTCAAATCAAGGTGGCACCTGTGCGATCGCAAACAAACTCAGCAGCCAGCTTGCTCTGTTTTCCGGACTCCGCACCTGCCTTAGCAACTGTAACTTAGCAATCCCCCCGTGTGTGATGGTGTAGCAGGCATGACAAAGCGAACAAAAATGCAAATATAAATAGTCATAATCTCAGCAGGAAAACATGCAGCTCCAAGCCCCGTGCGTGGATTGGGCGAAGGAGCCAGTTTTCGATTGGAAGCAGAGGCGAACAAAGAGAAAGGAGAAACAATCCCAAGATGCGGCAAGCACAGTGGCAGCATAAGTTTCGGCATGTGCGTGGATGCGGGGGCTGTCGCAGCAGTAGTCGCCGTCGTTGCTGTCGCTTCCAAAAGCAGTTTGTCAATACAGCTGGCTGCTTCTGTGGACTCTGGGGCGGCGACTGTGATGTGCGGTCATAGACATGGTACAGTAGCTGGAGGTGCTGTTGAGACTACAGGGGCGAAGGGGTGATGAGCGCCAGCAGCAGTAGCGGGAGCGGGAGGATAGCGGCAGCAGTAGTCGCAGTCGCAGCCGCAGCCGCAGTCGCAGCAGTCCCAGTCGAGTCGTAGTCGTCGCCGCCACCTTCGTCATCGTCAGTAGTGGTAGTGTTGAATGATGAACGAGGATTGATTGCTCTGGTGACGGTGAAGGTGATGGCGAGCGCGATGGTGATGACGATGACGACGATGGTGGTTGCGATGTTGATGGCGATCCTTGTGGCTATGGTGATGGTGATGATGGCGGCGATGGTGAGGGTGATGGAGATGGCGATGTATAACAGTGATCTTGATGGCGATGGTGCTTGCGCAGGTGACAGCGATGATGCTGATGCTGGTCATGGCGATCACGATGATCGTGACGATGGCGATGGCGATGTGATGACGATGGTGACGAAGGCGGTGCCCAGTATCAAAGAACTTGCACGTCATTCTGTGTCAACACGCGGAACTGCCTTTGTTCAACATCAACAACAAAACGAGCAACAGCAGCGTTATGGCCCCGACGGCTCCGGCACCGGCAGCTCCTGCAGCTCCCTGCTGGGAGTACCACTGCGTGTACTGCTGGTACCACCTTGGCTTTGAAAGACTGGAGTCTGCTGCAGGAGGGTGGGATGGTGCTGCGAGCCCCACTGTTGCCACTCCTGCTGCTGCTTGCGTGTCTCCTGCCGCATATCCATGCCCATGCATGCCAGAGGTTCGAGGCATGAGGGACGGGAGCGTCGGTACTTGTCCGTCTTCGCCAAATGTATAGTAGATTAGTTCACACGAACTTTGCAACAGCTTGAACCCTCTTAGAGTCTGATGTCAAGGCCAGCAGCTGTTCGCAGTTTCATGACACGGGCGTGCATTTTGTCTGCAAAGTGGTGGCAACCTGGCAGCATGAACAGCCCCAAGACTGGGAGGCCCTGGCAAGTGCGCGACTCCTTCATCAACACGCATGGGGAATTTCAGAAAACTAGAGTACTTCATTCTGCTGTCCTTATAATATGGATCCTACTACTTGGGGTCCTATGTCAGGGACCCGAATTTTCTCAAACTCCCGCATGAGACCGTCTCCAAAGTACGAGGACTCCTCCTCCTGCTGCTTCCGCAGGTCAGCCCAGGGCTCGTCCTCCCAGGCATTCGCCAAGGCTACGACCCTGACTCTGCCCAAAACTTGGTTTTAGGGTTTAGGGCTTTAGGGCTTTAGGGCTTAGGGTTCTGGGTTTCGGGTTTAGGGTTTTGGATTTAAGTTTTTCGGTTTTAGGGTTTAGGGTTTGAGCCCTCTCCCTTCCTCCTTCGCTTGCTGTGAGCCTGGCAACAGCAGAGACTGGGAGAACGCTGCCGGCATGTCCCCTGGCCTTGCTGGCCGGCTGCCACCTGGCAGGTCTCTGTGCAATAGAGTATACTTTAGTATACAATAAAAGAAGTATACTTAGTAGAGTGCATATGATCACATAGTACTCTACTATAAGTCTGATAAAGTAAGTATACTATGAGACATCTGCATCTGGGCCCTTGGCCGGCTCTCGGCTGGTGGCCCCTGGCGGCAGCGACCAGGCCTGATTGACAAGCAGCTGGAAACAGCTCACTGACGTTGTTGCTCCCATGCCGGCAGCACCGTGTGATTCGTTCTTTCGTTGTGGTAGTACACTTGCCCATCTGGGGTTTTGTACCGAACCCAGTCGGTCGGGGGTTGCTGAGGTTCTGCATCCTTTTGCTCCTTTGGCCGGTCCGAATGTCCCGGATTCCGCTGTTGCTCCTCGTATCTTTCTCGTCGGCTCCTCTCGGCTTCTTCTTGCTGACGCTGCGCTTCCTGCTGCTGTTGCCGCTGGGCCTCCTCTCGGTGTAGCTGAGCTTCCTGGTGCTGCAGAAACGCCTCTTGCTTTGCTCGCTCCTGCTGTAGCGAGACCTGCAGAGGAGTAGGAATCTCTCGAATCTCTCCCCCCCAGAACACACTTTGCAGTCCTTCGGCCCAGAACCGGAGGGTCCCGAGTTGGAGGGAATACCAGGCATGCCGGCCTCGCGACGATTCGTCGTTCGAGCATGCAGAGGACGCTCCGCCGAAGGTGCTCCCGCCGGAACGTAGGGTGTCTCGCCCGGCGCAGCGCGGCCAGGGGCAGCATCCTCATCCAGGACAGTGAGAAAATATGGGGGTTCCGAGAATAGGGGACCCTAATATAGTACCCTAAATAGTAAGATCCTTAATATAAAGACCCCAAAAAGGTACCCCTAATTTTCGGCAACTCCCCTATTACAACCGGTGCACGGGCCAGGGGCGGCCAACACTCGAATCAGTCCTGGCCCTGGCCGGCGGGCGCAGGTCCGGCGGAGAAGGAACTGTGCAAGAGCAGGAGCAAAACTGACTCCTAAACCCTAAACCCTAAACCCTAAACCCTAAACCCCTAAACCCTCTCCCCCCATCTCAGGCGGAGGCCCAGAACGATCCAGGCCCTGTGGGAGCAACAAGTCTCTCCCGAATTAGTGTGTGCTATATAATATAATATAATATACTATAATATAACATAATATAATATAACATAATATAATATACTATACTATAATATACTATACTATAATATAATATACTATAGTATAATATAATATAATATAATATAATATAATATAATATAATATAATATAATATACTATACTATACTATACTATAATATAATATAATATAATATAATATAATATAATATAATATAATATAATATAATATAATATAATATCTGCAAAGTTCAGGTCTTGCCTCAGGTCTTGTGAAGACCTCTCGAGTGGCATGCGGCGCCCTGGCAGGAACAGCCAACATGAAACCAACGCCTCCGTGTACGGCGATGGGACGAGACAAGTGCTGCTGGAGCATGCGTGCACGACTGAGATCGGCACGGGTATGAGGCTGTGCGAGCGGCTTCGGTCTTGCTACGGTCCTCTGCCTGGCAAGATTCCATGCCGACATCAAGTCTATGCATGCATGCATG